TGACTGCAGCAGTAAAAGAGGTGGTAACCCTCAGAGATGGATTGACACAGTGACTGCAGCAGTAAAAGAGGTGGTAACCCTCAGAGATGGATTGAGACAGTGACCGCAGCAGTAAAAGAGATGGTAACCCTCAGAGATGGATTGACATGGTGACTGCAGCAGTAAAAGGGATGGTAACCCTCAGAGATGGATTGACACAGTGACTGCAGCAGTAAAAGAGGTGGTAACCCTCAGAGATGGACTGACACAGTGACTGCAGCAATGGCTCAATAGTGCCAGAGATTGTGAGGCTGGCATGACAGAGGACGGCATTCAGCTCTGTTGTTCATAAGGCTGCTATGAGTCACACTCCTAACAACAGCAGGTCTCAGGAAATAGCATGATTGCTTCATATGCTGCTATTATAATATGATGGTGTTTCTCACAGCTATCACAGTAAGCCCATTTTTAGACCAGAGCCTCCTGAGTCACTCCAACAGATTCCTTACCAGTTTTGCTCATTGCTGCTTGAAACTTTTATGATGGTTTCTTCTTCTACTCAAAAAAACCTAAAAAAATAAAAGGTCCTTTACTTATTAAATGATGTTCAGATTACTTCACATGTAGCTCTTTAACTTTATCTCATGCTCTATCCCTGAAAAAGGCAGCTATGGTTTCAGCCTAATGTCCTCTGGACCCAAGTTGCTGACCTGCAAATCCTTCCTCACCATTTACTAGTTACATGTCCTTGGATAAAATGTTTTATCCTCTTTGAGCCACAGATTCATTAATGGGAATCAAAGCTAATACATTGAAAATATTTTGGTAATGAGCCTCACAGTCTGCAGCATATAGTTGTTGTTTGTTGTTGTTATGTGCCATCAAGTCTCTTGGGACTCATAGTGACCCTATATACAAGAGCCCTAAACTGTGCTCCGTGCTGTGCCAATCGCACTGTCTCTGATACACCCATCCTGATTAGCCCAGTCACTGAATCAATCTGCCTCATAGAGTGCCTTCCTCTCCTGTGCTGTCCCTCCACCCTCCCAAGCATGATGTCCTTCTCCAATGACCGGTCCCTCCTTACAACAAGTCCAAAGTATGTTAGATGGAGCCTCAGAATCCTTGCCTCCAGGGAGCTACCCGGTTTAACCCTTTCAGGGATGAATCTGTTTGTTTTCCTAGCAGTCCAAGGTACCCTCAATTTATTTCATTGTCCAGTCAAATTAAGGTATAGATCATTATGAAAATATTATTTTCTTTCAAAATTGTATGCCTTTCTTTATGTCATTTCTATAGCTTAGAATAACCTACTCACCACCACGATGGTCATGTATAAAGTCCTGTAATTTTTTAAACATCAACTCATATAACACTCAATAAAGTTTTTTGTTTGTTCTATTTCATTTAAGATAATCCTAACTGGAAGAGTCCTTCCCATGGAACCCATAAAAGACCACAAAAATTAAAAGTTGTGCAGTTTTGGCCTTTTTTCAAAACTCCATTGGTATTCTAAATTCCCAGGGTTTTTTCTTTACAAGCATGTGGCACAGTACGTATGATGACTACGTACTTCCTAAAGGGGATGAGTCCGCTCAGTTCATTGTGGCAAGATTTATCAGCACCTTGCCTTAGACAAAACAATGGAATATGTCCCTCCAATTTCTAGTGTTAACTTTCACATTTAATAAGTTTAAAAGTTTTAAATACGAACTCCTAGACATTTGCTACTCCAAGTTTTTCCTTAAGAATTAATTCATAAATGAATTTTGTTTATATTATAAAAACAAACAAAAAGAGTAAGGAGAACCTATTTTGTAAAAGAAGTTGAATTATACCACGTTAGTAATGTAATTTTTCATCAGTTAGATTCTAGAGAGGAAAACAGAAGAAGAGAAAATGCAATGTATCTTCTGCAATAATCTGGTGTGGGACAAATCATTATCTACATCTCTATTGACAACTGATTGTGCTCAGATACACTGAGGGTGCTTTGCCCACCTTTGACACAGTAAAGATAATGATATTATATCTCACATGAGATAAACGTGTATGATTGTTTCTGCCTGGCCCTAAAACACATCCAATTGGTGGGTCTCCAACGAAGTCATACTTTGGTGTGTATAATCACTTAGAGGAAAGGCCGTGAATATAGCTTCTCCCTCTGTTCGAAGAAAATGCTGTCCTTCAAAATATGACTTTTAATTTAAGGACACCGTATTCCAAGGGTAATTTTTCTTTCTCTCATTTCACATCTCTTATCTCCAAATTGTTTTCGCAACCCCACGTAAGACTCATATGCTTTTCGACATGGAAGAATATTTATTGTTTGATGGATAATACTTTCATTATAATTGCTTAAAATGAATGTTGGTTTGGTTTTTTTTATTTCATCTCTTCAAGCTTTTACTTCAAAGAAAAAGAGACGTGGTGATGGAACAACTTATCCTGCAAATAAAGGAGCAAATGGTAATTGCATATTATGCTAAGAAATACTAACTAGGGAGCTCTGGTGGAATAGTGGTAAAAAATTGCACTGCCAACCCAATCACATGTTGTTCAAATCACCAACTTCTCCACAGGAGAAAGATAATCTCCTGCCATACAATTTATTGCCTCTAAAAATCCTCTGGAGTTCCATCTATGAGTTAGTCTTAACTCAACTGTACATAATAGCAACAATGAGGGAAGTGACAGTTGAGGAATGACTTCTTTGGTTTTTAATGAGGATAAATTCTCTATAATCTCTTACCAAATAACTAGTTAAAAAATTACACTTACCAACAATCATAAAGCCTTTATTGCCACCTGAATTCAATACTTTAGCTACTTATATACTATATTGAGCTTGGCGTTAAACCAGAGCTTTAGAAAAAAGCAAGTTTAAGAGCTGCTGTTGGTAAGTGCACAGTAGATGAAATTATTATCTTTTTAATGGCTAAGTGATTTTAGATAACTTAGATATGGTTTAAAAATTCAATGCATTAATTACAGCATCACTATAAAACCTGCTGGAAAGTTACTTCTTTTATTCTTTTGTATTTTATAGTCTATTCATGTTATGCACTAGAGCTTACTAGGTTAAGTCATAAGCAAAATGACAGCATAAAATCTTTATGATACTGCACTCCTAACAGTATAACACTTTCTAAAGTTAAATATTATGAACTTCCACTATCATATTTCTAAATAAAATTAAAATATTTTTAAAAATTTCTTTATCCTTATCAGTTAAAATCTAAAGAAAAAAAGTCCAAAATGATATCTTTCTATGTCACACCAGGAGAGAGACAGAATTGGCTTTGGCTAAGTTGTCTTTACTTTAGGACAACTGGGGTTCCCATAATCCCATTCTAAGAATCATGAGTCCTATTTGTAAAGTCCAGAAAGGCTTTTAACAACCCAGCAACAATACTATACAAACATGACTATGGCAATACCAACACCACAGCAATTAAATGTATACCATAAAACCAAATTATCAATTATTAATTTATAATTAATGCATTTAACTTTGAGCCATTAGTGCAAGCAAATAATCTTGTAAAAAATTAGGGTTTATTGCAAGTTAGACTTGTCTTATTGTTGTAATAAACTCCCAGTGTCACCTGACAAAAGGATGCTAAGAAAATGTTGCTATTCCTCCTCAGTCCGGGTATAACTGGATTCTAGAAATGGGTCTGTAAGTTTAATAAAAACAGTTGGGAGCAACTTCCATGAAAATTTTTTTTCTGAAATAATGTTTATCTACATCTGGAGAGAACCTATTTAAATTTTATATCTTGGAGAATCACCTTTAAGTTATTGTGTATGTATAATCTTGATAATGAGTTACCACTTCTTGTTAAAAGTATCTTTCTTCCATTCAGCATTGGCACCTATTTCCTAAACACCATGCTTCCAGAAACTCAATGAACTTTGATAAATGTTGATAGTTATAGAAAGGCTTCAGGCCTTTTGTTCATAGGGTTGCTATGAGTTGTGTCAACTTGAAGGCAATCAACAACAATAACAACAGTTTTTATTTCATCTTTGAACTCTATATATGCATTCTTTACAGAATTAACAACATTTATACTGTTATGGGAAGAGTAGATATAACAATGATTCTTTCAGCAGTCCAGAAACCAACCAACATTCTCTATTTCTGACTATATATATATATTCACATGTCAAAAAATTATTTCAAGCTATTTATTTGGTTTTTATGTAATAAAATGGAAATTTTGTGTGTCCCATTAAAGATTAATAAAGATTAATATATGTATATTAATATCTCAAACACAGATACAGATTTATTTTAATACCCTAAAAATCTGCCTCATGGTATCCCTTTACATCCATATATCCCTGGGAGCAACTGGTAACCATTGATCTGTCCCCTTTAACAAATATATATATAAATGAATCATAAAGTATTAAACTTGTTAAGCATGCTTCTTTAATTCAGTATAAAGCCTTTCAAATTAACATGTTTTCACTCACTCATTTCTGTTAAGTCAAAAGCAACTCATTAACAGAGTCTCCAGTGGTTTTTCACAATCTGTAAATCATACAGAAAGGTATTACCCATCTTTCTCTCAGCAGTTGGTAGATTCAAGCTGCCTGCCTTTGGATTGACAGCACAACTCTTTACTCACTGGCCCACTATTGTTGTTGTTAAATGTTGTCAAGTAGACTATGCTCATAGTGACCCTGTGAACAATGGATTAGTATGCTGTTACCCCCTGCCACTCTCACCATCTCTAATATACTCAAGACCATTGTTACTGCCACTGAGTCAGTCCATCTCTTTAAAGGTCATCCTCTACTTTGGCATCAGTCATATTTTCTTCTAAGGAATGATCCCTTCTAACAACATGCCTGAAGATTGTGAGACAAATTTTCACCATCTTTGCTTCGAAGAAGCACATCCTGGCTGCACATTTTCCATTAGATACTTGTTTGTCCTTTTACCAGTCCATGGGATATTCAGCACCGCAACTGAAAGGCATTGGTTCTTCTTCTCTCACCTTTATTCATTGCCTTTCATTCAACATATTTATTATTTCATAGTCTACTATGAGTATTTTATACTTTGAGAATAATGTAGAAGAAGGCTTACTACTATATATGTCCCTTGTCTTTATTATATATCCAGTCAGAGAAGAAAATCAATGTTTTTAATCATCAACCACATTTTCTTTTTAAAAAAGAACAATAATCTATTATATTACTCAATAAGGTTATTTTTTATTTCCCCTTTCACTTTTAGGACTTGCAACAAATAATGTTCAAAGTAATTCACTGAACCCTGTCCAAAAAATGACAACTTCAGGTTTTAATCAAGTCGATATACAGGATAACAGTAAAGAAAAAAAGGTATAAAATGGTCTCCTAAGTTTTTGGATAATGTTCATCAACTTATCTTATGAACTTTTATATCTATATACTTCCCTAGCATACTAACATTTGGTTGGATAGATTTGAAGCTATACTTGAAATTTTATTTCTAGCACTGACAGAGAGGGAATTGACTTTTTAAATATTTTTTTAGTTTTATTTTATTAATTTTAATGAACATTTACAGAGATTTTGGATTTTCATTCATTCATTGTCGCACTTTTTTTTACCCCTCTTCCCCCCAGTTCGCTCCTCTTTGAAAAGCAAAAGATAAACTTCTTCGCTGGTATACAATCCCCCAACCCCGACCCTGCCCCCCACCCCCACCCCAAATGCACTCCACTATGCATCCTTAGTTCTGGATTCCTGTGATACTCATAATATTCTATCATATATCACTTTTAAACTGTTCTCTCCCTCATCTGTTTCAATTCAGTAAACAAGGAACTCATGCAATATCATTCAAAATGGGTGACCCTGCAGGACATTATGATGAGAGGGAATTAACTTTTATCATGGATACCCAGTGCAATTTAACAGAAGCTAATTCAAACTAGTAATTATACTGTTATAATGTTGGTAGTGGTGGTGTTAGGTGCTGTGGAGTTGACTGCAACACGTAATGTATGATCAATAGGTCAAAACTTTGCCTATCCTGCACCATTCTTATGTTCTCATTTATGAATGAACAGGCTCATATCCCTATGAGGAGGAGGAGAGGAGGAGGAGTAGTAGAATATGCTCAAACTGTGACTGGGAAAGAGCTACCTCCTTAGAGTATGCTATAATAATAGCTAATATTTACTGATCATACACTAATAGCCAGTTCTTATGCTAAGGCACCAAGATGGAATTGGGTAACACAGGATGCAAATCTTAAGTTAGTTGTTTCCCATTGAGAACTAATTGTCCAGTCATATAGAAGGACACAGACACATTATAACAGTAAAATGAGAGTTTGGAATGATAGATCTTATTTTGTTTCTAAGAATTATATTTAATAATCATTGGGTTGGGCTATACTGGATTGGATTAGACTATAGTTCTTGATAATAAAGGAATGCAAGTTAGATATGAAATACTAAAGCTGGAACAAATCTATATGTTAGTACACATTGCATTTAGCTTTAAATTACACTTGAGATCTGTGAAAGTTCTCTAGTCATAAATTGATAATACGTACTGTCTTTGATTGTTCTATGAGAGTTGGGAGTTAAAGGAGGAAAAAACAAAAATCTTCACTTGGTTGCTTGAGTGTTGTTACTAATAAATATTTTTCTCTTGAATATCACCCATATAGAATGATGTAGTGATAACTAGAAAATCAAGTCATTGTGATGATGAAGGTAAGAAAATGAAAAATATTATGAATTTGCCTGTTGCATGTTAAGTAAAAACTATAATTGCATCATATATTTTTCGTATTAAATATTTTTCTTCATAAAAACCAGGCTTATTTTATAAATTAAAAGATAATTTAAAGTTCATTATAATTAGCACCTATTTTTGAGTGATTACACCACCATGAGGTCCACAGGGGAAAGATGGGGCTCTGTGCTTCAATATAGGTTTACGGCCTTAGAAATCATATGGAACATTTGCGTTTACTTAACAGTAGTGGGTTTGGCTGTATTTGGCTTGGGTTTAAGTGATTGTGGACTGATTAAGCTTTAAGGAATTGCAAAATATGAAAAGGCTAGTATCTCCACTGTGACTTTTTATAAAGTTAGATATAGGAAGCTCCTGACATATTGTGATTCAGAACACCATCTTCATACCCACCTCATTTTTTCCCCTTGGAAATATATCTTATCACCTGTATCTCCTGGAATGGACTAGATGTTACCCGAGTACCATACTTACTTACTCCATGCTTCTAAAATTTTGCTCTTCATGTACACACAAAGAACTCTAGTCTTCTCCATCTCAAATTGAATGCATATAAGATAAATCTATCCTCTCTCTCATCCTCTTTTCACTCAGATGCAAAATCTGACTCACCTTTACCTTTCTTGTATTTTGCAGTAAGAATCAGTCCCTTTCTCCCTGAATTACCTCTTCGATTATTTTGGTCTTCCTCTCTTGGCATTCACAAGGCTCCTGTTTTATTTCTTCCCTCCTTGTTAAGTGCAATAGATTTATCTTAATCTCTTTTCCTTTTTAAAAAATCAATGTTTTTGCTGCTAAAGCAGCCTTCCAGAAATATAATTTTGGTTATTCTGTACTCATTTGATTCTAAGTTTTCCACTGTCTACTGAATAAAATGCAAACAGAAATTTTGGTAGAGAGCAGCAGAGAGTGCAGGGGATTAAGCTGGCATAATAAATTAAATAAGCATCAGAGGTTAGGATTTCAGATTATTCCTGAAGGCAGTGGTGAATCACTGAAAATATGTAGGCAACGAACATGAGAAAAGGTCATTTTTCCCTTGGAGGAGATGCTCCCTCAACTCAAACGTATAAATACCTAATGGTAGTAATTCCAGGTCTATGTTTTCTAAGCAGGGAGATTTTTGGAATAACCCTTTACATCAGAAAATCACCATTGCTCTAACTGTATCATATTTTTTCACATTTCAATTTATTTTTTTTCTTTTAGGAGTTATAAACATTTCAGATCAAGATTCACTCACTTCAGATCAAACTTTACCCACAAAAAAGTTATCCAGCATTTCGGATTCTTATATCAATCTTTTAAAAGAAGAAGCAGCATGTAACTGTGCTTTTACTTCAAACACGAACAGAAGAAATGAGGTACAGCATATGATTGGCATTGGTATAAAAATAAATCTTGTTAATAAGGGAAACATCCAAAATGGTGACTTCCCTGAAATTAATTGTAGTACAACAAAATCTTTAAAGTGTGTTTTTATTAATTGCATAATTTCTATCCTTACCTTCAACCTTCACAGGAAACATCAAATTCAACTGCTTTGAATCATTTTTCTACTAGTGCTGATTGATTGATTGTTCAGAAAGAGTTAACTCTTTTAACCCGAGATCAGTGCCCTGTTGTTGGAAAGTTATTTATAAGGACTCAGAGTATAGCCTCTGGAAATGATATGTATTTTCTTGGTTGTTAGCTTGGTATTACAGTTATAAAATTCTTGGTTTACAAGCTTACTGTTGTTAAATGCTGTTGAATCGTTGATGACTCATAGCAACCCTATAGAATGAAAGACATGAACACTTGTATAACTTTCATCATTTCTCCATGTTTATAAGAGTTTTTGGAGGCAAGCTATTTTGGAAGTGGTTGCCACTCCTGCTTCTAAGCTTGTTTTAATTGGGGAGCTCCACCAAACACTGTCCACCATGGGTAACTATTAGCAAATTTGACACATCAGTGCCACAGTGTTTAGCATCACAGCAACCACGAGTTACCTCTGTACAGCAAATGGACAGACCAGTACTATACCACTTAGAAAAATGTTTGACTAAAAACCAACTAAAACCAGGTCAGAGGGCTGCACATTAATATCATCCACCTTTGGCTTGGTAGTATTACTTTCTGTCCACTAGGCCAACAAGTTCTCTCTATGTTGTTGTTAGGTGCCATCAAATAGTAGACAATTCATAGCGACCCTATTAATGAAAGACCTGACACTTGTATAACTTTCATTGTTTCTCCAAGTTCATAGTCTCCAAGTTCAAGCTTTTTTAGAAGTGGATGCCACTACTGCTTCCAAGATTGTTTTAACTGGGGAGTTGCCAATTTACTAGTATAATAAAAATTCACCATCTTTGGTTCTATTAGCACAGTGTAAACTGGTTTAGCTCTGCTGGAAAACTAATACGCTTTGAGAGCTCAATAAACTGAAAATTTACTAAATCTTCTTCCCCAAAGAAATTCTGTCAGAGTGGAAAGTGATAGAATTTTCCCATGTCATATTATAATTGACAGGCCACAAAATGTATCACTTGTAAGATATTGAATATTTCCTACACTGTGCTTTTTTAGTATGATTTTATTATAAACAAACATCTGGCAACCCTATATTTGGAGAGAGAGCATTGTACAAGTTTGTCAATGGCAACATTAAGTAGGATAAAGAGTCTAATAAAGGAATTTCTTAACAACTTTGACAATTTGAGGTCAAACTCACATCCGCCAACAGATCTGAAAGGCCTTTTAATTTTCTTCTAAAAAAAACATTCCAAATTTAGTTGTTAACTTGCTTTGGGTAATATGTATATTAATTTTATAGTCCATGTGACTTAAATAAGTACTTGAAGGGTCACAGATATATAATCAATTTTTTAAAATGCTGAAGGCATTTTTTAATGTCAAAAAAATCACTTTCAAAAAATATACTCTTAAGGGCCTGGACACAGCTATTGTGGGAGGGTGGGAAGGCAAGAATAAATTCTACTCCACTAGAGTGCCTGCTGTTCTTGATCAAGACTAAAGGGGCATATATCCATGTGTTCAGGGATAAATTCTGTGTGTTTCAACTCTCCTTAAACTTTTTTCATATTATTAGCTTTGAAAAATATACTCTTCTAGTCCCATTAAGTTTATTAACTTTCTGGATAATTTCCTTATATGTTTTTGAGATAACTAATTTTAGGACATAGTAAATACTTTTTCTCAAAAGAATAATAACTTTTGTTGCCATTTAATGTGCCTGGTCAACTCTGACTCATAATGACTCTATGTTCCTGAGTACAGCAAACTGAAACCTTGCTGAATTCTATACTGTGCTCACAATCTATCCCCATTATGGCAGTTCCCATATCAATCCAGTCCATGGAGAGTCTTCCTCACGTTTCTTGAACCTCTACTTGTCAAGCATAATATCCTTGTGAAGGCTGCCTCCTCCTTATAAAATGTCCTTATAACATGTCTCAAGTATGTGATTTAAAGTCTTTCCATCTTGTTTCTAGGGAGCACTCTGGCCTTATATCTTACGAAGCTGATTTGCTTTTGTTTTTGATAAACCATGGTACATACATACAATATAATTCTTGCCAGTAACAAAATTCAAAAGCATCAATTTTTGTCTATCTTCTTGATCCATTTTCCAACTTTCAAATACATATGAAGCTATTAGAAATACCATGGTTCAGGGTCAACTGCACCTTAGTCTTTAAATGGGAATCTTTACTCTTTAGCCCTTTAAAAAGATCCATAATAACTAGCATCTCCATTGCAATATGTCTTTTAATTCCTTGATGGCTGCTTCCATGAGTGTTGGGTGAAATGAAATTGATGTAAACAACACCAATATTTCCTTATTTATGTTTGTGTTCTTTATTGATCCATTTGTGAGAATGTTTTTGTTTCTTTATGGTGAAGCAAAACCTATACTAAGATCCTTGAGTGACATCAGTAAGTGCATTAAGTCTTGACTTTCTGTAAGCAAAGTTGTGTTGCTCCTACTCTCAGTTGTTGAAAAGCCTTCCTCCAAACTTGGTGCCACATTCTTCTTTGAACACATTCCATGTTCTAGGATCATTTTTTCTGTACACAGATTGGGTAGATATGGTGACAAAGTGAAATGTTGATGTAAATCTTTCCTAATTACAAACCATGCAACATTTCCTTCTTCTATTCAAGTGAATTTTTTTGTTTTCCTGAGCAGACTTAAGTGTTCTGGGATTCTACTTGATGGTATCCATTACTTATTATGATCCACACAGTTGAATGCCTTTGCATAGTCAGGAAAATCCAAGTAAGCAACTTCTTGGTATTCTCTACTTGCAGTCAAGATCCATGTGATTTTAGCAATGATTTCTGTCATTCCATGGTCTCTTCTAATCCATCTTGAATAACTGATAGCTAGCTGTCTGTGGAAGTACTGCTCTAGCCATTTAAAAACTACTTCATCAAGACTTCATTGTCTGATAGTTATGCCATTATTTTATAATTTTTATTTTCTGTTAGTTTGGTTTTTTTGGTTGTTTTTTGGTTTTGTTTTGTTTTGTTTTGTTTTGTTTTTAACGGCCGCAGATCCACAGTTGTTCAAGTTGATTGGCCAGGAGGTAGCCATCTTCAAAATTTATTGCCATGGATAAAGGAACCTATTAAGAGTTGCGTCTACTGAAATACTTCAGTTGGCAATCCATTAATTTGTAGAGTCCATGCCATCAGTGCTGCTTGGGAGATTCCACTTAATTTTGGTGTTTCCTAAACTACTCAACATTTTCCCCAAGGAATCTTTCAATATTGCAACTTAAGGCTTGAATCTTCAGTTCTTTCAGCTACAGAAATGCCAAGTGATGTGCTTCTTCCTCTTTGGTTTTGTAACTCCAGCTCTGAACATTTCAGTAGTTTGTTTTGTCTTCTTGAGCTAAACTTTGACATTTTCTGTTGAGGTTCTCTAAATCCTACACCAAGTTGCACAGTTTGAACATCCAGTTTATCCTTTTCTTTCTTTCCTTCCTTAATAACCTTTCACTTTCTTCATGTGTGCTGTCGTTGGTGCTATCCTACAACATGTCTGGTCCGAGTTCATTAGTTTTCAATTCATAAAATCTGTTTTCTAGATGGCACTTAAAATTAGATGGGATAAATGTAATCTTATATTTTGGGTCTTGTTTAAATTTAATGCACCTTTAATTTGAACATTCATAAAAGAAATAGCTGGCCTGTCAGCCCCTGGCATTGACCCTCCACCTTCCCCAGTGTGATGTCTTTTTCCAAAGACTAGCCTCTCCTAAAAACATGCCCAACATATGTGAGATAAAATTTCATCATCCTTGTCTTTAAGGAGCACCCTGGTTGAACTTCCTACAAGATAGACTTAATTGTTCTTTGATATTCAATATCCTTCTCCAAATCAACAATTCAAACACATAGATTCTTCTTCTGTCATCATCCTTCTCTGTCCAACTTTCATATGCATAACAAATAATTGAAAAGATCATAGCTTGGATGAGGTGCACCTTAGTTCTTAAATTTATATCCTTGCTTTTTAGCATTTTGGAGAGGTCCTTGACAGCAGATTTTCCCAATGCAACACATCTTTTGATTTCTTCACTGCTCTTACTATATGTGCTAACTATGGATCAAAGTAAAGACCTTACAAGATTATCCTCTTATAAAAAAATCTTGAGTGCTGGTATTTTTCTAATGGACTTGCGAGGCAAAAGCAATGCAGACATATACTGTATTTCATACTGCTGTAAAAATGAACACCCTCAAATATATCTTCTCACAGGTGATAGTATAAAGAAATATCTGGATTTCTCAAATTCATTTTCTCTCTATTTCCCTTTCTGAGTCAATTGTGCATCTTTTTACAATGTTGTTGTTGTTGTTATGTGCCACTGAGTCACCTGTGATTCTTAGTGACCCTATGCACAAGAGCCCTAAACCCTGTTCTATCCCATGCCAATCTTATTGTCTCCAATACACCTACCCCCATTGCTTCAGACACTGACTCAATCCATCTCATCGAGAGTCTTCCTCTCTTGTGCTGTCACTCTACCCTCTCAAGCATGATGTCCCTCTCCAAGGACTGGTCCCTCCTTGCAAAATGTCCAAAGTATGTCAGATAAAGCTTTAGAATCTTTGTCTCCAAGGAGCAACCTGGTTTCACCCTCTCTAGGACCAACTTGTTTGTTATAAGTAGTCTTAAATCTTAGGCATGACTGTAAATCAACTATAAGTTGAGTCACTGGAGTCATAGGAAGTCATTAAATGGCCTTGTGGATGCCTAATACAAGGGGCATTTGAATTCCCTGGTATAGTCTACAGGGAGTTTCACTGCTAATTCAAAGGCAATGCCTCTGTAGCAGTTTGAATACACCAGGGGTTCAAAAGAGGAAGTT